CAGAGTCACACAACAGCTGGGAGAGACAAAGGGTCCAGAGTCACACAGTAACAGAACTACTTAATAATCTCACGGGCAATCTATCATGTCACCTCACTGCCTATCGACGACCCTTGTAAGCCCAATGAAACCCCACTGTGACCCAGGCCACATCCTCTAATAACCCAGTGAGGACTCAGAGCATAGACACCAAAATTTACCCACAACCTGGAACTTTGTTTGAGTTCTATTATTGGATTCCTATGAGTCACAGCCACTGTCTGGTCCAGTCCTGAGGAGGATACTGAGAGCCCCAGGAAATGAGTGGGGAGTGGGTGTTCTCTCTGCGCCTTCACTTCAAGGAAATCTTAACTGTTATTCTTGAACTTCATTCTTCTTCCAAGCTACTTAGGGACTCGCTGAAAATACTGAGGATGCTGTAGGCCTCTGAATGATCCTGAGTCTGGAAGTTGCATTTTAATGAGCACCCAATTTAAGTGCCTTAAACACGCTGTCACTTTTACCAGATTTTACCAGGAATAATTCCGGTCAAGAGAGATGGAGACCATCCAGATTAGCATGGCCTAAGGAAACTGCTTATTTCTTCTCATTTAAAAATTATCCAAGGGGTTGGTCCTGAGCCACAGGACAGCCACTCTTCTGAAGAACAGATCGCTTCTGTGTCTCTAGAATGCGACCCCAAAGGCTAGAGATAAAGTGAAATTAGAAGGCAATATGCACCAAGTAGAGCAGTACCAAAAGTAACACACAGCCCACTTAAAACTTACAATGAGCAGTTGTTAATTATTCTCTTACTTAGATGTCATTTTATGCCATGTTCTTACATTAACTGCAAAAGTTAACATGACGTGCCACCACGGTTATTTTAGTGAACAGAATTCTCTCAGTCTTTGAGAAATTTTTCTGTACTAGAGGAAATCAGTTGTGATTTCTATATAAATGCCAGCAGCTCAGTGCAAATAACCTTTTCCCCAGTAGGTACAAAGAAGGAAAAGAGAGCCCACGTCCTTGCTCTCCAGCCCACTTCAGTCCTCTGGTGATCAAAGGCGAGGGCAGAAAACCAGAAAGACACTACTTAGTAGACAGGACTTGAACGCTCTTGATCAACAGGAAGTGGGTCAAGGGCAAAAGCTGTGACCTTAACATACAGATCAGCAGACATGGGGAGGGTAGTCATTTGGAGCTAACCGATTCCTGCTCTGACTAACCCAAGTGTCTTTGTCTCAGAATGACCATGAAGACTCCTTAAGTCTCCCTTCCTTCAGTGGCAAACAACAGTTTATCCACATAACAGGTTGGTCCACATTTTAGTTTTCAGTTATTTGTAGAAAAGAAACTTCAATTTGCAAGATAAACTCTCATAAACAGCCAAGTATCAGGGAATCCACTTGTGTTTGTGTTTATGACAAAGGTAGGAAAGGTTTAAATAGGCTTCTAATGCTCCTGAGATTTACATTGAGTGTTTCAGTTCAATTATGAAAATCAATGGCAATTTTGCTGTGGCATTAGTAGGTCTCATGAAGAAGTTCTGCGGGTGGGCGAGCTGGGAAACATCACAGTAAACTAAACTGATGGGCTGGCCATCTGCATGGGGGCAGGCGACTCCTCCCAGTGCCCTTCCTGCTCTTAAGATGCAAGGAGGAGGAGAAACAGACAGTACAAAGAAAAAAGTGAATCCTATAAACACAGCCACATGACTGTCTCTGAACAAAAGGGAACGCCATGAGCATACAGTCACAGCATCCCCATTGGGCGTGCTTCTTACATTAAACTATTTAAGAAGCACTGCCCACCCGCTACATCCACAAATGGGTAATGTATCTTCTGAAAACTTCATCAGAGTGCACTTCTTGCATGTTTCAGAGAAAGACAATAGCAGCAGTCAGAATGTCATGGTGATAGCGCACAAAGGGATACGTGCAAAGTTCATATAGTACCAACTATCAATCAGCACAAGACACTGGGCCTTAGCCAACCCCACCCTGCAACCAGCATAGACCAGGAACACTCCAGAGCCTGGAATCTGACTCCATCCCAGCCTGCCTCAAGGACACTTCTGTGTGGGGCCTATAGAAGTCATCTACATAACCTCCAGTGCATTTGATTGGGTGTTGTGCAGGGTTCAGCCTTCTCAAAATAAAACCATGCTTGAATGACTTCCCATGGAGCACCTGGCTCTATGTAGGTCTTGGGAAAATAGCAGAATGTCTCTAGGGATGAGGGCTCTGGAGTAAGCAATCCTGTAATAAAATGTTCCTGAGCCTGTGCCATGTGCTGGGAACACTGCCTAAGCCTCAACTCTAATCTCTGATTAACTCCGATTTTATTATTTTTTTTTTTACAATTTTCTGAGTCTTTTTTTAAATCTTATTAAATGGACTTGGAGTGGACAATCAAGTATTGACACAATTACAAGCAACAAGTTTCTTCCTAAGTTTAAATACATTAGTTGTAATGCACCTTATCTCTGGTAGCTACTGCTACACGAATCTCATCATGGCGGATTACTGTGTTAAACCAAAATCCACACAGATTTAATTTGGAAGAAAAAAAAATTGGAGATTAAAGACTGAGCACATAGTACTACTATTAGAACAGATAAGAAAACAGAAATGAAAGATTAAGGTAAGAATAATGGAAAAGTACAGAAACGAAATATTGTTTCCTGAGAACAAATTTAGCTGCACTCTGCATTTGCTTTCGTGCATCCCATAATTCTTTTCATCGGTCTTACCTTTAATGCGTCAATAACAGCTGGTGGATAGCTCAACCCAACCATGTTTGATGTCCGCCTATACATTCTGGCAAAGATGGAGGAGAACACAAAATGTGATCACTTACAACTGATAGTTAGCCCTTCACAGATCTGCACACATATTGACAATTATGAACACTCAGGTCTTCTGGTGGCCCATGGAACTTTAAATCCCAAAGTCACTCTAGTGCCTTTCCTTAGTGATGAGTTAAAAAGAAATGAAGACAATCTCAAACACACAAGGCACTGGAACCAAAACTGAATTAAGTTTATGTGCCCCAAACTGGACACTAAATAACTGAAAGGGAGGATGGGCTCAGCCAGCACTGGTTGCAGGATGAGAATCGAGGTACGGTATTGTACTTGATAGTGAACAGAGAATGTGTGTAGACAACCCATCGGAAGTACTTCTGAGAGCAAGTAAATATCCCAGGTAAACTTTGAAATCACTACCATGGAATTTCTATAATGTGTAACTGTGTAGTAGGGAATAGTAGAAGAAACGATCCTATTTCTCGTAGGGAAGAATTCAGTGTCAAAAAGCTGGCAAACTATGTCACAGGGTGAAGCACGATTAATAAAAACTCAGAGAGAGAAATAGGGGTTCAACCTGAAGATCCAAAAGCAAAGCAGCCAGACTTACTGGTTCTTATCTTGACCTCAGTCCAAAATGGTGATCCTGCCTCTAGAAATCTCAGAATGATAGCTGAGAGCTATCTTCCCCGGCTTTATAATCCTCTATAGGGCTCAGATTAAAGGCATGCACCACTGGGATTAAAGGCATGCACCACTGGGATTAAAGGCAAGCACCACAGGGATTAAAGGCATGCACCACAGGGATTAAAGGCATGCACCACTGGGATTAAAGGCATGCACCACTGGGATTAAAGGCATGCACCAACCGGTTTCTATGGCAAACTAGTGTGGCTACTGGGATTAAAGGTGTGTGTTACCATTGTCTGTAAGGCTGACCAGTGGGGTGTTTTACTCTCTGGTATTCAGGCAAGTTTATTCATTAAAATACAAATGAAATATCACTACATCAGGGGACTCATATCCCTTAAATAAACTGTCCTCCCTGGGTCACTGACCTCAAAACACCTACTGGTTTGTTCTGATGATATCTATGTATTTGAAAAACATAGATTAGATGATTTCTGACTTTAAAAATGAGGCTGAGCTTAATCTAAACCTTAAGATGAGGATTTCGAGCAAAGGGAAAAAAAAACTGGTCCTAATGGTGTCATGGAGATTAGAATACCTGTTTCTACTCAGAAATTTGGGTTCTTTAATAGCATATCAAAACTACATTAAAGAAAAGCTTGGAGTCTTAGCACCTGGAGTTCCTCTTGCTGGTTTGGCCCTTGAGTAACAATGGGTTTCACCTTTACCTCTCCACAAATATCCCAGCTTGCACTGCATGGACGATGGTCTTGAACCGGGGCTTCTCATCGCTTCTCCTAAGCATCATCCCCATCTGTCGCGTGAAGGTGGAGGCCAGCCAGTCTCGGACCTCGGAAGGCACAGCGTCTGACTGAATGTCACTAAGCTCGTCCTCTGTGTCCAGAAGTCGCCTGGAAGTAAAGCACACAGCCAGGGACTGAATCTCAATCGAGAAGTCTCTGTTTGAAACAGCTGCCCTTCTACACCCAACCTGAAATACAGGCACAAAAACGTGATGTCAAATGGGACACACACAGGCAGAGAGACAGCAGTGCTTTGGCAAGGCCTGTGACAGTTCACAGGGATGTCTCTTTTGAGTAAATTAGAACTGGCCCGTCCTCCAAAGACACAAGTATAAAAATGTGTAAGAAGCTAAGACCCAACCAGGGACAGTATTGGGTGAAATACCTAAAGACTGAAAAACATTGCACAGATCACAACAACAGAGTACTCTGAAGCAGTGATTTTAAGGAATGCCAATGGATGCTCCTTTAATTCAACAGGAGGTAAGAGAAATATGAACTTCTGAATTCAAGGTAACTTCCCAAAACAGTGCATGCAGTTCTTTATTTGAATCCCAGAGACTTAAGCCATTTGTTCATGTGCTTTTCTGATTTACCTAACTTACTCAGTCAAAGCACTAGAAAGGAACAAAAGTAGTTATAATAGAACCAAAATTATTGACCATCATTTGGTGAAGCCCTATTTAAAACAAGCAGTAAAAGTGACCATTAATATAAAGACGTTTTCCATTGTCATGTGTTTAGATATATTCACTTAGGCAAAGGGAGAAGAAACTGTGGTATCAAGTTTCTGAAATTAGTAATGAATTGCATCATTTAAAAAAAATAAGCCAAACAACCCGTAGACTGTAGTGAAATCCTCCCTGATTTGGGTTTGGTGAAGCAAACTATCACAAACACTGAGCAGCCTGTCTGACTAGACTTTCACAGTTGACATTTCAAAGGTTTCCAAAAGGAAAGCAGTTCTGTTTCTTTCAAAAATCTATTTGCCTGCAATTGTTCTAGTACGTGTATTATTCAAGAGGAAATGTTTGCTGAAGGAGGAATGCTGGGGACTTGGTCACTGCAGGAACCTCTAGATGCTGACACAGATGATGGATTCAAAGACACATTGTGGACTGATACAGTGAGTATGCAGCCCTCACCGTGGGACTATACATCTTTCCAGGGTTTTAACAGTTGCCGTTTCTGCACTGACACCGTTTTACTATGCATGCAGCAAGTTCTGTTGGTAATTCCTAGTTCATGGAGCAACTGTTCAGTTCTTTTCTATACACAGAAACTAATGTTTCAGAGTCAGCGATATGAACCACACACCCCAGACGTGCCCTGGGGGTGAGGGACTGCTGGACAGAAAATCCAGCATTACTTTCTTAGCCTCTTTTCTAACTTACCTTGTTTCATCGATATATACAGATTCAAGCACGGTCGCTGCATATTCCAGGTTCTTCTTCAGATCCACCACAGAGGCCTCCCCTCGTTCCAACTGCTTGACCAAAGACCGTAATCTACAGGGGACAAGATGATGCCATTAGAATAAAGGAATCAAAGAATAATTCTAAAACTATGATGGTATATATTTCTATAGTTTCAAAGATTTTTTTATTCCAATAAAGGAGGAAGCTACAGTATTAAAGTGTTCTAAGTTGCTGATAATTTTATTTTTCTCAGATATGTCTCTTTTAGTCTCTAATTGGATACAGGAAAGACTGACCAACACCAAACACCATCAGACACCTCTGAGACTCTGTGGAAGGCGCTTTGTTCAGCAGTGGCTAAAGAGAACCATAGCCTAATGGTCTCCAGATGTTTGAAGACTTAAGGGAAGGTATAGAGTTCTACTATAGCCACCAGGGACAATGTAGAAGTAAGTAAATTATATTGGTAGGCAGGAAAAATGCCCCTAAGAGGAGTAATACTGTAGTTGTCAAAAAATGTGGGTGGGTGGTAAACTGAGGATTCCAGATCATCCAAGAGAAGGAAGAGGCACATTCTTTTTACACAGCAATCACAGGAACAGAGAAGGACATTGTGGGGGGTAGCAATGCAATGCCTTCAGGCGATCAAAACACAGTACCCTGGGCTGTGAAGGACAAGAACCTCTTCAGAATGTTTGGTAGCCAGTGGTACTAGGAGAACATAGTACCGACCTGGAAGTCAAGTGTGGATTTGACGTTTGCCTCACAAAGCATCGTCTATGTACATCGGATAAGCTAGGTGGCTTCCCTGAGGATTATAAAATAGAGCACCATGAAACAAAGTTCAGAAGTTGATCTAAAGATCAAATGCCAGGGCTAATAGAAAGACTGTGAAACTCTTGGGTATTCTGTAAGATGCTATTGATATAATTACTGTCATTATTGTTAGTCAAAGGTTCCGTTCCTCACAGATACCCAGACAAGATGAGTCTTGGCAGAACACTTCAGATCACTGTCACACCTCCATCGTACGTGGGTTTAGGCAATCTGTCTCACCTTCCTGATTTCGAAGCATCCACAAGCTTGCATTAGCAAGAGAGAAGAGGTGGACTCCTTGACTAAGTTTTTCTTTAAATCTGGAGCCTGGGGACATTTGGCTACTTCCAAACACCAGTACTTGGCAGGTTGCACACTACTCTTCTGGTGTTTATAAAAATGTCTCAAAATTAAGAAAACAATTCCTAAATCAACCTTGAAAACAGGGCAAAAAATATTGGTTCTCCCAATATCAAGTATCCAAATATTTCAATAGCATGGACTCCAGAGAAGATTTAATTAAGGGTAGTCTCTACTGTACTGACAATGCCCAACAAACAGAGAGAGAGAGAGAGAAAGAGAGAGAGAGTGAGTTTGAGAGAGAGAGAGAGATCTGTGAAGATCTCTGAGGGTCTGGAGGTGACCACCAGCCTTGTGAGCTACAGCAGCACAGGAACGCGAGCCCCAACTTTACTGAAACAAGCTCCCATAACTATTACAAACACCACCTATGTATTTACAGCATTGGGAATGATACTGGACGGTCAGCACAAGACAAGATGCTGGTGTAGGAGGTTCTGCCAGTCATTCACACTCAGGGGATGCCTATCTGCGAAGAAACAGAAAGAGTGCATCAAGGAGCCTGACTGCTGTTGACTAAAACCAGACACTCTTGAACAAGATACAGTCCCAGCTAAGCCTGCTTCCAACTTTAACTCTCTCCCAGAAGCTCAGATACTGCTAAACTGGGCTCTTGGTTGAAAAAGCAAATTGGGAAAAAATTCAAATTTTAAAAACATTTTGACTTATCTCAGAGAATAAAGAGTCTACCAGAAATTTATAACAAATGTTTTGTTAGGACCCACCTTAATCCCAAAACCTAAGAGCAAAGGTCAAAAATGTGAAAAAAAATAATGAGGGGAATTATAACTAATAAAACCAGAAGTTACAACCTTCCTGGAACAGCTTCCAGGGGAGGATAAATAAAAGCAGCTTTAATAAAAATAAATGTTTTTTGTAGGCAAAGGAAAATCCAAGCTGGCCTTAGGCGTCCACCCTGTCACACACCAGAATGCAATTTAACAGTGACACCAACATTTCCAAGAACAATGTGGTATCATGAAAATGACATTCATATGCTTGCGTAGAAGGATTGCCGTACATAGGTGTGAATGAGTGCAAGGTGTGGTAATTCATATGCTTTCCAGAAGAGAGGAAAAGCACTTAGAGGCACACTCTGGAAAGTTCTCTGCAAACAACAGTGTGCTTGTCTCAGGTTAAATGGCTCGAGGATAAGGGGCCTGGATTTGACTACACGCTTTACCAAGCAGATAACTTCTGGAGGGGCCAATGACACAGAAGCTCCAAACACAAGGACAGCTGAACCGGAACGTGAGCAACATCTTTACTGTAAGAAGCTTCCATCTCTATTATAAACAGCACCGATGCAGCCCTTGTGGCTGAAATCTTCTCATCAAGACAACCGAAATGACTAAGAATGGCTTATTCCACTATTTTTAACCACTTTTCCTTCCAGGAAAGCGGAGTAGCAAGAGAATTAAGGCGCGAAAAACCTCTGGTGGCCAAGCCCTGGGAAGCAGACTCCAGCTGAGAAAGGGCCACTCAGAATCTCCCCCAGCAGACACAGACGGGCAGCAGGAGGGGAACCCCAAGCCTTGCACCATAGTCAACAGGAAGTCAGCAACGCAGCGGACCAATAAACTTCAGCAAACCCCCCGAGAAGAATTCACACACAAAATAACATGAGAAAGTACAAATGTTTACATCTTCCCTGGTTTTCTAGCTTTTGAGCCAGACTGAAGATTCAGACAGCACGCTGGCAGACAGCACAGGAAACCTGGCAGAACCCACCCGGCTGACACTCACCCCTCTTGATTTAAAGATGATCAACAGCTTAAGAATAACAGAGGAAGAGTCGGCAGTGGGGATGGGGAATCTACAGCACACAGCGTGCTGAGAAGGCGCTCACTCCCAGAACCGAGAAAATTTGCCAAGCGAGCATCTGCTAGGTGCCCATCAAAGTTCGGGAAAGCACAGATTTATGGAGTGGAACTCTGATGCCAGAAAAGTGAGCATCCTGAGAGAAAGGGAAACTTAAAAGAACAAAGCGTGATGGCAGAGAGACACTAAGAGGGGTTTTGTTTTGTTTTGTTTTAAAGAAGCAGCAACTTTCTAAACGGCCAACTCCCACTTGACTCAGCCCCCAGGATGGACAGACTTGGGAGCTTCTGGGAACCTGACTCACAGTACTGAGCAGCCACACAGTACACTCGGGCTGCTGACCCACTGACCCCTCAGCCCACCTCCCTCGAGCTCAGTGGTCCTCAGCCTTCCTAACGCTGTGGGAGACCCTTTAATGCACCTCCTCATGTTGTGGTGACCCCCACAACCATAAAATTATTTCACTGCTATGCCATCAGTGTAATTTTGCTACTGTTATGGATCGTGATGTAGATAGCTGATATTTCCGACGGCCTTAGGAGACCCCTGTAAAAGGGTTGTTTGAGGGTCTTGACCCACAGGTTGAGGACGGCTGCCCTAGCTCTGTATCCTTCTCACTTGAAATGTGCGACCCGACCAATTGATGATGCTGTTCTTTCTTAGGGAGAAAAGTCTTCAAAGCATCTTCTCAGCCACTGAGCAACCAGTGCCCACTAGTCTCAAAAAATGGTAAAGTTGTCTAAAGACTCTTCCCTGTTCCCAGTAATGCTGGTTTCCTCCAGAGCAGAATCCATTTCATCATTGTAGCTGGAATCTGTCATACCCCCATTTAAAAGTATTTCTGCTAGAGACAATTAACTGGGGCAAGAGTCTTTGGATGGCTTCCTATGCTTTCCTAGTGAAGCATACCTGGATAGTTTTCCATGCAAATTTATTTTGTAAAGAAGTTGAAGTCTAGGTCCCATTCCAAGTGGAAGCCAATATGTTAAGAAAGATAGCTATCCAGTCCATTGACTGGTGAATGGATAATAAAAGTGTGCTATATTTATACACTGAAATATTATTGTTCTGCTGTTAAGAAAATAAAATCAGCTAGGTTGTGGTGATCCACACCTTTAATCCCAGCACTCGGGATTAAAGATTATTAAAGAACTTGGGCAGAGGCAGGCAGATTTATGAGTTTAAGACCAGCATGGTCTATAGAGAGAGTTCCAGTGCAGTCAGGACTACATAGAGAAACCATGTCTAAAAAAGAAAAAAAGGAAGGAGGGAAGGAAGGAAAGGACAAAGAGAGAAAGAAAGAAAGAAAGAAAGAAAGAAAGAAAGAAAGAGAGAGAGAAAGAGAGAGAGGGGGAAGGAAGGAAGGAAGGAGGAAGGAAAGAGAAAATGCAATTGTTGGTAAATGGAAAAGCTAGAAAAAAAAATCCTAAATGAGGTAACCCAGACCCAAAATTACAAATATTGTGTATTTTCTCTTATATGTGGATATTGGTTTTTAAGCTTTAAATATATGTGCTAAAATCTAAATACCCACCGCAATTAGGTACATAGCAAAAAAATCAGTGAGAAACAGAGTATGTTCCAAGGAAGAGAAAGCAGAATGTAGTGCCACTGAGAGATAAAGGAGCAACTAGAATGGGAGGGTTAAATAAGGAGATGCATGGGAGAAGGTGAGAGAAAAGCAAAGACAGGAATAAGGTGTGTGTCTTAGAGAGAGAGAGACAGAGAGAGACAGAGAGAGAAAGGGGGAGTGGGGGAGCTTTGGTTTCTTTTTAACTTTTTAAAATACATTTTTGTTTTGATTTTTGTTTTTGCAGTTTTATCAGGTTTTTTTTTCTGTTTTAAAGAGTAAAAAGCAAAACTGGATAGGAAAAGAAGAGGGGAGAGAGCTGGGAGTAATCCGGGGAGTGGAAAAATATCAAAATACATTGTATGAATACAATCTAATTTTAAAAGAGAAATTCAAAGTGAGTAAGGAAAAAAGAAAGAAAAGAAAAACAAATCAATTCTCTGTGCCAAATCAGTAAGACAATCATTTTTGCCTTTTCTTTATGGTGGTATCCCTTTCTTCAGAACTGTGTATTAAAGCTAGA